AATCAATTATTTTTAAACTTTGATAAATGCTCAATTCTGTCATTTTCACGAGGATCAACAACAATAAATTATGACTGGTCCTGTTTGATTCCAAAATGTCTTTCAATATGGACATTGACAGATTGGTTAATAATTGTAATAGGATTCTTGGACTTATCAAAAGACAGAGTACTGATTTTCATAATTATAAAACAATTGTAACTCTTTATTATTCTTATGTTGTTAGCAAACTACAATTTGCTTCTACTATATGGATCCCCATATACAAGAATGCCATCGATAGACTAGAAAAAATTCAAAATAAATTTTTACGATTTTTATGTTATAAAACTCATTTTTACATTGCAAATCATGACTACTCAATGGCTCGAGAAAAGACGAACCATGTCTGATATTTTAACAATATTTAAGATCGTCAATAATCTATCTAGCTCTCCAAGCATTCTTTTGAAAATTAAATTTAATGTACCTGTTCGAACACTTAGAAACCACGACTTGTTTTATATTCCATATTGTAGAACTAATTATTATCAAAACGCACCCCTAATCAGAATGCTAAAAGCTGTTAATATACATTGTACTGATTGCGATTTAGACATACATATTTGCAATTAAGTTGTTAACATTTAAAAAAAATCTTAAATTTAAATTTTTAGGATGAACTTTTATGTGATATTACTGTGATATGTGTGCCTTATTTAAAAATTTGTGATAATACCTACCTAGCTCATTCTAAATTATTCGAATACTTACTTAGATATTACTCTTACAGAACTTAACATTAATTATTATATTTATTTATCTGTATGTATACTGTATTCTGTAATATCGGGACACTATTTTTGGACTTTGTCTAATAAATGTCTAAATAAATAAATAAATAGACAGTCTACCGGTTTTTCCGCCTACTATCAAAAACATCTATAAAAATAATAATATTAATAATAATAATAACCCCATGTGGGGTACGGGTGTATAAAGAATGTCCCCACGGTAGTCCCTGCCTGTCGTAAAAGGCAACTAAAAGGGAACCAAGGTGGGCTCAAAGGGGTAGGATGCACCGCTCCTACTCAATTCCTACTTGCACCTCCTAGCTTGGTGGGCCCCGGTAACTTTCGCTCGTTATCTTTGAGATCGGGTAACCAGCCCCGAAAGAAAGGATTTGGGTCAAAGGCTAACGCAAGAGGAAGAAACAACCACATTTACTAGGCCAGCAACCTGGGAAATGTGAGAATATAGGTAATGCTTACAAAAATAATAAACATGCCTCGGAAAAAGCCCTTGGTGATGGAACTACACCAATAGGAAGGACTGATCAGTCCCTAGCAAATGGAAGTGGAGCAAGTAGCGCTCCTTTGCGAAATGGTACTACAAGGTCTGGCACTAACATCAGAGGGGGTAGAAAAACAGGACAAATAAGAAAAAGGGAAGATACCGCAACCCAGGAAGAACAATTTATAAGATCGGAAACAATTGGTGACGGGAGTTGCCTCTTTAGAGCGGTCAGCTTGTACCTGGATGGCTCTCAGGACACCCACGCCCAACTTAGGGAAAAGACCGTGAAATACATACATCGAAACTGGCACAAGGTTCAAAAATTCATATTGGTCAACGATGAAAATCTTAGAAACAGGATTCAATACTGTACTTACATGAGTAAAGAAACGACTTATGGAACAAGTCTAGAAATACTAGCTTTATCGGAAATATACAAACTAACATTCTGTATATACTCATCAGAAAACAGGTCTAGCAATGTAGAGTTCTGTTCAAGTAGTCAGCCTACCAGGATCTCCAAAAGAAATTATAGAAAGAGTATCTACCTTTTATTGCTAGGAGATCCAGAGAATGGGCATTTTGAACTTTTAAATCCGGTAGAGGCCCCTACTATTAGCCATCCGATACTTGGAAACCTTAAGAACGCAGTCCCAGCAATAATATCCCCAGAAACAACCAGTGAACCAACGGATAGTACCCAAACCCAGAAGACACAGTCTGAAAATGGCCTATCTGATGGACATCAGTCGAAACATAACACTAATAAAAGACAAAAATGGACGACCGAACAATATCTGGAAGTTATGCGGTGCTATTATGAGGCAGAACACAATAAAACTGACGGTGGAATCACTAAAGGAACATACACCATATGGAGAGAAAGAAACCCAGATATATTTCCTAATTTGAACCCATTGACATTAGCAAACCAAAGGAGATTTATACTCAGAGAGCGCAAGGTACCTGAAACACAATTAAAACTATTACGAGAAAGTATAGGCAGAGAAGCTAACGGTAATGGAAGAGCTTTGGAGAATGATGAAATTGTTGAATCTGCACAATCGGAAGGTGAAATTAGAAATGTGATCTCAGACTAGAAAAAGAACATAGCAGATAGCCATAGCGAGGAAAGCATTGATAATGAATTAAAACACATGGAAGAGATCATAAGAACAAAGCTGCTTGACACCCGAAAAAAAGCACATAATTTGGAGAAAAGGGCGAGGCTAAAAAAAATTAACGTAAACAGGACAACTCTTAAGAGAACTTCATTGGCAGATAAAGCATTAGGAATTATAATAAAAGAACGGACGGAATGGACATTATCAGAGCTTAATGAACTAATTTATACAGCAGCATCTGTTGTAGCTGGTGAAAGTGAAGGAAAAACTCCATGCAGATCGAATCTGTGTGAACCGAGGTGGAAAATAAGAATACGAAAATGCATTGAGTCTTTCCGCAGGGAATTGGCTATTTTATATGAATTTAAAAAAGGCGTACCTACCCGATAGGTGCTTTCAAAAGTTGACGGAATTTGCAAAAAGTATAAAATTAACGAAACATAATCGAAGAACTGGAATTAAAAGTAAAAATGAAACTACTTGCAAAAAGTCAACGGTTACGTAGATATTCAAAAAGGGCTGATCATTACTACCAAAATAAAACTTTCAATGAAGACCCGAAAAAGTTCTACCGAAGCATAAATAATAAAACTGATATTGTGAAAGATCCACCTAGCCAAAAAAAAGTTGAAGAATTTTGGAGAGGAATTCTAGAAAATAAAATAAGACATAACAAAAACGCCAAGTGGATAGAAGAAGAAAAATCTTTCAGAAGAAATATAAACAGTAATGAATGGGTTGATATAACAAGTCATGAAATAGTAGATACTATTAAAAAAACCCACAACTGGAAAGTCCCTGACCCAGACCAAATCCAGAACTTTTGGCTAAAACATTTTACTTCTACTCATCAGCAATTGACAGCGGCTGTAAATAATGTAATTAAGGAACCTCAGACAATCCCGGAATGGCTAACTTCTGGAAATACTTATTTGATAGCTAAGAATAAAGACACAAAAGACCAACAAAATTACCGCCCAATCACCTGTCTAAACACAATGTACAAACTCGTCACCTCAGTAATCACCAATAGAATTTACAATCACTTAGCAAAATACAAACTACTCCCTGAAGAACTGAAGGGATGCTGTAAAGGAGCGAGGGGATGCAAAGACCAACTACTGATTAAACTTAGACTTCGCAATGAATATATTCGACGAATACGAAGCATTCTTAAAACAGAATTATCTGCAGAAAATAAATTTAAAGCGATAAATACTCCTAGCTGTGCCTGTCTTGAGATATAGCTTTGGAATTATTAATTGGCTGAAGAGTGAAATCAAACAACTAGATAGAACAACCAGGAAGAATTTAACATTGGGAGGCATACATCATCCTAAAGCAGACGTTGCTAGAATATATATTAAAAGGAAAAGTGGAGGTTGCGGCCTAATAGAACTAGAGACAGCGTTCGAGAAAGAAATTACCGGATTAGCAAAATATATGAATAATTCTAAGGATGAATATGTTACTTTAGTAAAACATTACGACGATCAACAACAGAAATACTCCATTACAAAGTAAAATGCCGCTATTAAAGAAAAATATTTACCAGCCGGACAAGATAACAAAGGTAACAAAAGAGTCAAGCCTATAATAGAAAATAAACGTATCGATGAACTTCGAAGCAAACCTCTACATGTACAATTCTTCAAGCAACTAGAAAGACCGGTAGTTAATAAAAATGCAAGTATAGCTTGGTTAAAGAGTGCAAGTTTGAAAGGGGAAACAGAAAGTCTAATAATTGCCGCTCAAGATCAGGCATTGAATACGAGATATCTGCAAAAAAACATCTTCAAACAGAAAGTTGACAGCAAATGTAGAAAGTGTAGAAAGGCTGAGGAACATGTGAGCCACATCATAGTGGGATGCTCGACATTAGCACCGTCAGAATGTACACATAGGCACAATAAAGTTGTAACTAACTATTATAAATTTAATGTTACAGAGAAATATTACCAGCACACCCCTGAAAAAGTTGTTAACATTAAATATAATGATCTTGACATCACAATATTATATGATGTTCCTATCAATACTGACCGAAGCATTAAGGCAAACCGACCTGATATTGTAATCCATGATAAGAAATCTAGATCATGCGTATTAATAGATGTTGCAGTACCTGACGACATGAATATTGCAGTCAAAGAAGTTGAAAAACTAAGTAAATACAAAGATCTGGAAATTGAAATATCTAGAATGTGGAATGTCAAGACAAGGGTGCTGCCTATAGTGATTGGAGCATTAGGTACTGTCACAAAAGAACTGGAGCAGAGAACAAGTGAAATACCATCATCTATGATGCTACAAAAAATTGCTCTCTTAGGCACTGCACACATCCTAAGAAAAGTGTTAGGATAAACTGATAGGTTACTTTGAACTCTTGTTGAGCTCTGAACCTATCAAGAGATACCGATTTTCATCGAGAAATTGAGGATAATAATAATAATAATAATGTGGATAAAGGATAATTCTTGTTATTTTTCTAAGAACATGTTTCTATTCATTCACAAACGGGCCTTAATTTTCTTAAGTCAAATATTCAATATAATTTTAAACAAAACACCCTTGTATTAATTAAAATCATTTTCCAACTAGTGAGTTAAACCTAATGGTAGCCTCGCAACTAAGCGAACAAGTAACCGACGAAGTCTACGAGATTTTGATGCAAAGCTACAAGATTTTGGTGGGTGACGAGAGCGCTATCAGAATCGATTCGCCTCCGAGAAGATCGAGGCTGAGCAGTTCCGGTAGTTCCAGGCACGGCGCCAGCGATATTTCCATTACGGACAGTACTAGTCATATTAGTGATCACTCTCCAATGGTAAGACTATAGCTAATTTTTTTTATTCATCAATTAATTAAGTATATTGTTAATTTTTCATGCAGATGTTGGAATATTTGAATCTTGTAAGTAAGATTTTCACACTAAGTAGGCGTTTCTTGCTTTAATTTGATAAAAATTGTATAGTGAAATATTTGATTATAATTTCCTTTATCAGGCAACTCCGCATCTTTCAATTAAAAGACGCAGCGTCCACAATCGAAAACTACGTCCTAAATCGGTAGTGGACAGTGTTGAAGGTCTATCAGCCGACGATATACCAAGCTTATTGCCTTCTATGCCTCGTAACGGGGAAGAAGAAGATGCCGTAACCGAACTGCCTAACACTAGTCATCATTTGCAACATTTAGTAAAAGGAATTTTCTTAAATAAAGGTTAATGTCACCATTTAATCATTTTGATATAATGAAACTTTTAATTATTGAATTGCTTTATAGGACGTCCTCGTAGAGCCAAAACAAGAGCACCTACCAGGCCTGTTGTTAAACCTCCCGATGTAACTGATTCTGTATCACAAGTAAATAATGTTTGTTTATTGAAATCATTTTTAAACTAATTATTATAATTATTATTTAGGATCTTGTCGAAGGCCTAGACACATTTTTCCGTCCAGGGTCTGTGACGCCCACTTCGGACGATTGCCACTCGTTTCAGCTGGACGGCAGTCCGAATCACGAGTTCTCTTCGCCGGTGCTGAGCGAAGATCGGAAAACTCCAAAGCTCAGCAGAAACTCGCCGCTTCTGAGAGGTCTGATGACTCCGACGCCTCGGTCTCGGTCCATAGATAATTTGGAAAAGTGTTCGCCGACGTTGCATCGTAAAAATACCGGAGATTCGCCTCTTAGTAGAAGATTAACTGGTGAGAATTTTTCAATAAATGAGTCATGGTTTAATTTTTAATATTTTTATAGGTGATAGTTTAGTGAGTCAACAAAGTAGCGAAGGCAGTTTGGCGACTGAATCAACTTTTGATCATTCTCCCAGCAGTACTCTGTCAAAAGGAGTGTCTCCGGATAGCTTGAAAGGTAAGTTTTTCAAATTCATTGAACAATAAATACACAAGATATTATGGGGTAAAAGATTGATAGGTTAGTAGATGATACTAAATGACAATGATAATAAATTCTTTACAGAAGACTCAATATCTCATCTGAAGCTCAAGCCTTCACCTGCAGTGTCGCAAAAACCTCGCCCCTGGTCGATGGTAAATTCAGAAGCCAAATCCCAAGATCTGAGTCTTCTGAGCGACGGCTCGTCGGCGAACAACTCGACCGGCAACACTCCGGATTCGGCCGAGGCTCTGGACAGCTCCGAATCGAGTTCGATCGATAGACGATTAGCCAAGGAAGTCAAATTGAAGAGGACAGGTGAGGATTTTCCAGGAATAACGGGTGCACAATTTCATTATTCATGTTGCACTTGCGCTTATGTTGTTTTGAGTTGCTTTTCATTTTTTTTTTTTTTTTTTCGGGAAGGTATTTTGCACAGTTATTTCCCAGACCGAAGCGATTTCAAGTTTTTGTCGCGTTACAAGGTAATTTTCATTTTATTTTTTATTTATTTTTCATTGTTCATTGGGTGGTTTGAGACGAGTTTGAGGAATCTTTATAGCACTAAGGACAATTAAAACAGTTCTAGGGAATAAATATTCCACAATTGTAATTAATAATTGTAGTTGTAATGTAAATAACTACTGTCTACGTCTAATTTGATTTGAGCTAATAAAATTACATTTTTCTTAGGCCCAATTTCACAATTGGTGGTAATCAAACTACTAGTTGCACAAGTTTGGAAAATGAGGATTGACTTAAGTAATCTAATGATTGACCAATGTTTTTGGCTCAGCCACACATTATGAAACAAATATATTGTGGGTTACCAGTGTCTTGTAGTTACCGCTGTTTATGAAACTGGTCCTTAGTGATAAAAAATCCTTAAATCGTTAATTATTTCGCTTTTGAAATCTTTTCCATCGTTGGTTATTATTTTATTCAGGCGATAACCAGCAATAAAACGATGACAGTGGATCAAGCATCGAGAAGTGCCAACTCTGATCGTAGGGACAGTAACTTTAACTGTAGGACAAAGGAGGACGCGCACGTGATTAGATAGGATTTTGGATTGTCCAGTTGAAGTTATCTGGATTTGGATTATAACTAAGGAACTTGTGGAACAAGTGGGGCTGGGAAGGGGAAAAATTGTTTTTTTTTTTGTAATTTTTTATTGTTTTTTTTTTCTCTCTGCCTATTTTGTTTCTCATTTTTCGTCTAATTTATTGTTTATTCCAGGCTCTTGAGTTTTGATTCTCTAAACGTAGAAGTTTACTTTATGCCGTTTATTTTTAAACTGATAAATGTCTACTTATAGGTAACTACTATCAACATAATATAGAAAGTTTAATCGCATTCTTATGATTTGTTTGAGCCATTTCATGAAAAATTGATATCAGAAAAGAGCACATTAACGTATGCATATGAATAAGGCCTGTATTAGCTCAGGGCAATACAGCGTCTTCTTCTTTGCAAATCATCAGCAAAGAACCTCCTATGCTCGTGGTAACAGAACGAAACCAAATCTTCAATGTTCACCATGTATTTCCTGAGGATTCAAATCAAGAAAAAGTATATTTGGAAGCAGTAGAACCTCAGCATTGCATCGCATCAAACTGAGGTACAATGGTACTGTTTTTGCTTACGGCCAAACTGGTACTGGAAAAACGTATACCATGGGATCTGAATCACAAATACTAAAATAAATTAATAAAGAAGGAATCATTCCCAGATCCCCCAAATAACTATTCACTGAAAACAACGACAATGAAGAAATCCAAGTTAGGGTGACTTTTTGTGAAATTTACAATGAAAAAGTCTCCGATCAACAAAATACCTTTACCAATTTCAGGTTTCACTGCACCCAATTTAATTAAGAAATGTGCGTCATAAATGTAACAGAAGCCAGCAATTTGCTGGAAAGAGGCAACAAAAACAGGCATGCTGGTCAAACTAAACAAAACTCGAACAGCTCAAGATCACACGCCATATTTACATTGGAATATGAAAACAAAATTCAAAATACAACAGCAAAATTGAATCTAGTAGATCTGGCTGGTTCTGAGAGTGCCAAAAGAATGGTACCAAAGGAAAGACCTTCCAAATAGGCATAAACCATGAACATCAACAAAGGGTTGCTTACTTGTTGAGTCTTTAAACCCTGAAAATTACATATTTTAATTCCTTACTGGAATGTATACCGTGAGCTAAGTTATGACAATTCTGTAATTCCAAATTCATGTCGAAAATCAATAATTATTGGAAAATTGCATTTGGGTTAGATTGAGTAAGTCTGCAATAAAATGCTAACTTACGAGGACTAGATGGCACCAGGCGGACGGGTTAGTTTGGGTCAGTTTGAGTAAGTATGCATCACATCAAGGAATCGTAAAAACTTCAAGGAGAACCTCCCGGGACAGTTTATTAGCTTGCAGTGAAGAGCGCGATATTCAGAACTGCATGGAAGCATGTCAGTCCTGTCAAAAAATCCAGAGCATCCTTACCAAATGAGACCTACATGATTGAGAACCTCCCATGTTTCATTGGATTTATTCTGATTCAGTAAAGGAAGAAAACATTTTATAATTATATCTATAGACCTTCGGAATGGCCAATAGTTACTCAGTACAATAACACGCAGATGATAAATGATCTGTAATGTATTTTTTTTGCTTCATACTGGCTGCTTTTCCCATGTCGGCCTTCTTTGTCATTTCTTTGAATGCCGGTTTATTCACCTTCTGATAAATTGACAGATGAAAACGCAATTTGTAATCCCATTGGTCAACCAGTTATCCGCCGACCAATAGAATTATAGAACAATAAATTTATCTTGCAAATAGTTACCAGCAACTTTATCTGAAGATAAATAAAACGGGCCTTAAAAGAAAAATGTTCGTTTCAGAATTTTATTCTGCCCATCTGCCCATTTCAAACGAGTCTGAAAACATTTAACCGTTGTTCGGTAGATTTCTTCAGATTCTATGATCCGGCTTTGAGGCTTAAGGATTCCGGATAATACTTTTACCTGTCACGAAACGCGTCACGCAGCAACACTGCTGGTAACGCGTTGAGTGTCGGGTGAAAGTATTATGTAATCCTGAAACATCGAGTGGTATCCAAAAGGTTATACAACGAACTAAACTTTAATACGCTATACATTGTTCCCATATGACACGAGAGGCTTAACAAGTGATAAGCTTTTCGAGATTATCGCGTTTGGTGGCAACATTTATAGAAAAAGTTTTGTTTCATCTCTTGCCACCAAGCGCGATAATCCCAAAAAGCTTATCACTTTTTAAGCCTTTCGTGTCATATGGGAATAATGTACAGTGAGAATCATTGCAATTGGCACACACTTTATAAACGTCCCCCGTAATGTGTCAAAATTTTACTTCTTTGACACACAGGTAATGTCAAAATCTTGTCAGATTGATAAATCAGTGGTGAACATAATAGTTTTAACAAAGTGTTATAAAGGAAAAAAATAATTGTTTGTTAAACTGGTTTACCATATGTTTAACAATGACGAAAAGTCAAGAGCCAAATGAAATGATAGCATAAGGTAAGACAATTCAAGCTGCTTTAGCCCTATATAGGTTCTGGCAGTAGCACGATCATAAAAAATATTACGTACGCCACTGCACTAAATTGATTTATTGGTTAGAATTTTGACGTACAGTGAGTTGTATAATCTAGGTTGTACCGTATAAAAAATCAGCAAAAATTTTAATTCCTATCAATTCTGGCCTCCTTGTCAAAATGTATGTATTCTTACAGAATCTGATAACAAAAAAATGGGATAATAAGGGAGTTATTGTGGAATACGATAAAAACTGCTTGTGGAAAAAATTATGTACAGTCGTGAACATAAAAAGTGGGACACCCGTGTTTTCCTATTGTAAAACGGGCTCACCAGCTATACCTATGACAATGGCAAGGATTGTCATATTTGACAAAAAATCGATTGTAGAGAAAAGGCTGATTTACGCAAAATAGCGACAATGACAAGACCTGTCAGTCGGGTGTCTCACTTTTTGTGCTCATGACTGTACATACGGAATAGAAGATTTTTACGACATGTACAGTCGTGAGCACAAAAAATGAGACACCCGTTTTTTTCTATTGTAAAACGGGCTCACCAGCTATACCTACGGGAATGACAGGGATTGTCATGTTAGTCAAAAAATCGATTGCAGAGAAAAGACTGATTGGGCACTTTCCAAATTTCACCGATAAATTGACCGGTTTATTCGGTAGCTGTCAAAAAATTCTGGTAAAAGTTAGGTGAAATCCGGTAAGAAGATTTTCCTGATGCATTTTGGAACGCTTTGTTGTGGAAAGTTTTGGTTGACCGTTGTTCTGCAACAATTTAATAAACGACAGACCAAAAAAAGGTGTCAAAAAATCTTCAACCGAAAAAACCGACAAAAGTTCCTGGTGGATCTGGTGCTTCACCGGTTTCAAACAGCTGATCATTCTGGTCAATTTTGGAACGGACGATCTAATTCAACCGGTAAAAAGTCGGTACATTTTGGAACGGTTTGGTGAGTAAACTATTAAACCGGTATCGCACCGGTGAATTTTGGAAAGTGCCCATTTACGCAAAATAGCGAAAAAATACTAGACCTGTCAGTTGGGTGTCCCACTTTTTGTGCTCATGACTGTATGTGGAAATCAGTCCTAACTTGACAAATTCTGAGGAAAACAGATATATGGTTAACTGTATAATATGTTGATAGTTACCTATATTAGAAGTAGACATTAAATAAGTATTGATGTTTGTGGTCTATTCAGAATACACTTTTGTGATTATTTAGGAAAAAATCAAGATGAATCCCAGGTAGAGGGTTCACGTCAGTGTCAGTGACAAATTGTCAAAGTATCACTGGTATCACTTTTCTCATGTAGTTTGTCTCAGCATCAGCTGAGTATCAGTCTCACAGTATCAATTCCAAGCAGAGGATTCACATGTCAATATAGTATTTTTACGCTATATTTAGGATGATGTTGCATTTGGTAAATTTCTGCTGTCAACTTAACAAAACTAGAACTTGTTAATGCATTAAAAGTAGGGGAATTTCAGATGTTTTGGGTTGGCAACGACGCGCGATGTTGTATGATTATCATGATGGCAAATTATAAAAAAAAAATAGGCATTGAAAACATTGTCTATCCTTGTTATCCTAAATATAACGTAAAAAACCTATATCAGGCAATGTCCCGGGTATGACTGTCAGAGTATCAGTAGTAGTAGTATCAGTTAAATTGCACCAGATCAGTATCCCAGAGAAAAAATTATCAGTAGCGAGAGTAGTGAGTAACGGGATGGCTATAAAATTCAAAAACCTACCCAAAGGAAGCAAATCTCAATGAAAATTCTCACGCTTCAAGCCAGAATTTGTAAAAATCAAGATGGCTTGTTAGAGTGTCAAGGTCGATTGCGGCTTGGATTGAAGGAAACTTTCCGATCCTCTTATCCTCCAATGCAGAGTTAACGAATCAGATATTTTTATATAAAAAGTTACCATGTTGGCGTATCACATAAGCAACATGGTAATTTTTGGTATGAAAATGTTCGACGGATAATTTCCTTCAATCCAAGCCGCATTCTGAGTTGCACGTTGCAGGCGGCCCTCTTAATTTATTCAGTGTTTATAAGCCTCCTTCTAAATCCTTAACCCATAATGATATCATCTGATGAACCTTTTCTTCGGTTCTGATACTCCAACTGTAGTTACAGGGGATTTCAGTTGCAAAAATAGAGCCTGAGGGTGCCGAGCTAATAACACAGCGGGCATTTTTTTGCTTCAATTCACCCAGGACAACCTTATTTCAGTTCATGCTCCATTAAAATCAACTCACTTTCATTATATTACCCCTGATATTCAAGACCTTGCTCTAACCAAAAATGTCCCATGTCCCCCATAACATTTGTATTGGCAATATTAACGATCTCAACTCTGACCACAATCAAATTAGTCTCAAAGTTGGTAATCAGATTCAAAATGTCAACACTCACCACACTTTTTCCTTTAACAATTATCCGCAATTTGCATCTCATCTTGAGCCAATCATATCCCACCAGACGTATTAAACACGACTCTGGACATTAACAATGCTATTAACACATTTACTCGAGAAATAAATGACTGTTTAAAGAACACTAATGGCGTTTCCGATTGGTAGATTTAGTGCGGAACTAGTGCAATTTTTTCTATTTCTGTCTTTTTCTTCTACAGGTTGATTTAAAGGATACAAATACACTCAGTGCGCACTGAATTTACCAATCGGAAACGCCATAAAAGTACTATAACTACCAAACAAAATAACCCTAACTTACTACCACATGACATACGCCAGCAAATTAAGTTGAAAAATCGACTTAAAAGACTGGCAATAAGGACTAGATACCCAAACATCAAACGTGAGTGTAACAGGCTTACAAACCTAATTAAAACTTTAATTGAGGAACATAGAAACGAAAAATAGGGTAATCTACTAGCTGACTTGTCCCCTGAGGATAACTCCATATGGAAAATGATTCGTTCTCTTCTAAATAAGAAAAATAGGCAAATTTCCATCATTCATGGTAGAGCTGGTTTGGTGTTTACTAATCAAGAAAAAGCAGGAGCTTTTGCTGACGCACTTCAATCAAAATTTCCACTTAACGAAGAGCCTGATGACAATATTAATCATGAAGAGGACGTAGACAGGCGCTATAGAGAAATCTATGTCAGACCTATAGAAGTAGGAGTTCCTCAAGGTTCTGTCTTGGCTCCACTGTTCTATAATATTTACACGGCTGACATCCTCAATAATCCTCATACTAAATTGTCCATCTTCTCGCAGATGACACTTGTATTTACACTTCACAAAAGTACTCACATCATATACATAGACGACTACAAAATCATCTCGACTCCATAATTGACTAGACAAAGTTATGAAAAATTAAAATAAACATCGATAAGACCCAAGCAAATGGAACAGACATATTGACAACCTGATACTGGACGATTCAGAAATAACATTGACTAATCAAATTAAATACTTAGGGCTAATACAGAATAACAAACTTTCTTGGACTTCCCACATTATTCATAAATTAAATAAATGTAACAGATTAGCCGGATTGCTTCACCCACTACTTAACAAGAACAGTAAACTGACTCTCAAAAACAAACTGTTACTACTATACAAGCAAGTGATTAGACCTTCATTACTGTATGGTGGACCAGTTGTCTCACAGTCATCACGGCAAAATAAAAAGAAAATGCAGGTGTTTCAAAACAAGGTAATCCGTAGGATGGTCGGCGCTCCGTGGTATGTTCGCAATGCGGACCTACATACCGAATCCAGGAATACCTTGTTGGGAAACATACTCGGTTTCTTGAAACAGTTACTAACCATACTAATGATATCATTAAAAACTTATCCGACGATAACTTTACTATTAACCCTAACAGAACTACTCTCAGAAATCTAAATGCTCCGCTTCTTTTCTAAAGAATGAAATTCCCTTCCCTCCTTCCCCATCCTCTTCTATCCTATCCCCACTCCCTGAACAACAAGTTAACTTTAAACACAACATAAGTAGCAATTAGACTCATCTGTTACAGCGTAAGGGTACTTTGCACTAACGCTACAATAAACTCATAAGAAGAAGAAGAATATACCTTTGATACCTTTTGAAACAAATATAATAAGGATACTTATAACATTAACTATTCCAAGAACCTAGAATAGACATAAATTGAGACAAAAAACATGAGAAATAGAGCGGAAAATATTTATCTTTTTTTTTTTAATTCTATTTCCATTTTGGGCATTATTTATACAGTATAATTCCCAACCCCCAAACCATTGAAGACATGCAAATAGCTTTTGTCTACTTTCAAGGCTCGGTTTGTTAATGTCCTATTCGAGTGCAATAATAAGAATTCAAGTTGAAATATCTAGGGCCTAAACAATGTTCTTGTAGCTGTTTAAGAAGGAAAAGTAGTTGAATATTTTAAGGAAAAAATTATTTTCTTGGTCCAACATTGAGACAGGCCAGAATGCCATTTAATCTAATCAACTGCCAGCAATTTTTTTTTTTTGTAATAAAAACTTATTTGATTGTGCGTATGTACAAGTTTTATACAGGGTGAGTATTTTTCGGTTGGAAATTACTTGAAGTTTCCATTTGCAATTTGCAATAGAATATTTTACTAACACCCTGTATGCACTTTTGACATTTATAATTAAAAAAATAGGCAAATGTTAAATGTAAATTGAATAGATTTTATTACCATCTAGACCAGGCATTTACAATAGTTCTAGTGATCTTTATATAAGTATCTTCCTGTAATAGTTGGCCTATCATAACTATATGAGAAAAGCTGCTCTCTTGAAATTTATTCTTGGTAACTTCAAAAAAAAAAAATATTTTTATTAAAAATATTTGCGCCAGTTAACTTTTGAAAAACTGGGACAAATCAATCAATGATTTACCAGCATTAAGATTTTACTAGTAGAATTGACCAGTTGAAAATGTTACCCGTGGCATCTGAAAATTATTGAAAACAATTAACTATTAGATAGCGTTTAGGTTGTATTTGTGATAAAAATTTCGTCTCTCGTATTTTCCAAAACCTTTATTGTAAATACATTTTATTTTTATGTAGCTTTTGTGCTTTTAATTTCGTATTTACTCTTTTCATGGCCAGCCAGTAAGTAGAAGTCCAGTATTATTGTGATGTTATTTTAAAAAGAAAATTGCAATGTTTTTAATATATTATTATATTTTTATTATTTTATGTCTGTATGAAAAATGCTTCCATCTTTATAGTCGACTGAAAATATTTTTTTTTTTTTTGTATTGTATGTATATTTTAACAAGAAAAAACTTATTCCTTACTTAAATTGAGTCTTTTATTCTTCCCTCTAATCTCTGGCAATAACAAACAAATATAAAAATCTACAATCGAGGAATGCTGGATACTAAATTAACAAAAAATTGGTTCTTGGCTTTTATCTACATTACAAAATGAGTATCATAAAGTATCGTCCGGCTCGTAATGTAGACCAGTGTAGATGATTATCCAAGTGACTAGAAAACCGGCAAAAGATGTCATGAAACCTTCTTTCGTTAACTCCCAGGGGCCTCCGTATTCTTCTTCATCTACGCATTGGAAATTACTGAAGTAGAAATACAGTATGCCAGCGTTAATGATGAAAAACCTTAAAAGGATTTTTAGAAGATAAAGCTTTCCCTATTAAATCATCAATACCTACAAGGCTAATCCTAAGAATCCTTTAAGTGGAAATATACCCCATATAATTCCCAAAATAATGCCCAGAACTTGTCTGGACCAATAAATAACGTCTAGAAACTCATCCTGCAAACAATTTTAATTCAATATTGAAATAGAAAATGTGCATTTATGATTATAATTATAATTTTTTGGACAAATCACTATTGAAATTCTAACCTAAAACTTACTTTGTCCGGCCATTCAGAGTTTGCCGTGATAGCCCTGGTCCAAACCGAAAGCTCTTTGGCTTTTATTGTGCCGTTTTTTTCTGCCAATTTCGGTTTTGTGCTCATTTTTTGGATTATTCACTTATTTACCAAAAACCCCCCTTAAAAGATGAGGTTATTAAAAAAAAAATCAATTTTTGACGTTTATCTGACAAATTGACACGACGAAATTTACAGATTTTACGATTCTAATGCATAATAACAGAAAACTGTAATTTGATTATACCGACTTTTTATGAGTTTTATGGTTTTATCGTTTTATCAAAGAATTTCCATTCATTCACCATTAAGTCCAGATTATGACTCTAAAAATTGGATTTTCCTTTGGTTCATTGGATTGTCCAGATGATTTCAACATTAATGCTTCATGATAAGTTTGGGGTTAGGCAGGTTCTGAATTTTCAGTGGTTCACTCCACAAGGTGTTCCAAAAAAACTGAAAATTACAAACTTACCGTAAAATTTATTTGTTCCGGTAGTAACAGATTTTGAGGACCAGGAAGTTTAGAGAAGTTTTAAGGACTAGGAAGTTTTGGGGAGGTTATAAGGACCAGGACGTCTTTTTTGAGATTTTAAAAACAAGGAAAATAGGAAAAACCAGTTTCGCTGATATCGTAGCATAGGAAAACTTTGGGCGGTAAAATATTCCCAGGACAAAACAACAAAACCATTTTTTTTTTGTCTTGTTTTTTAATTATGTAATTATTTTTAAACAGAATACAATAAGGACATGGAATATTTCTTCTTTTAAAATTAAAATTAATTGAACGGTACGTGAACTTTAAAAAATATACAATAATAATACCTAGGCACTGATTTTCATGAGAAATGTACAACTTTTACGCTTTGTCCGAGGCTGTCCCTCCATTATAACTAACCGGCAGTTAACAGAAAGACAAAAACAACATAAGGTTTAGGAAATGGAGAATAACTAAGGCCTATCATAAACCTAGTAATATTTAATTAATGAATTTTGAATTTCTCAGAAAATAATCATTCATAAAGCTTCATACTTTTAGATACTTTATCTCATTACATTATCATTGCTAGGTTTATTATGAGCCTCTTACAAAAATTATAACCAATCAGAAACTTGAAAATCATTTTGTAATAACACCATAATCACAGAAATTGTTCTGATTGACAAAATAAGAAATGCCTGTGACTGTCTTATTATTAAAAAATAATAAAACGAAATTTGGTACACAGTGATGCCACATAAATATTTATTTAATACTGTACTAAGACAACAAAAACTACACTGTGTACCAAAAGTTATAGAGCCACTTCTTTCACCCTGTAAACAGAGTGCTTGATTTTCAACTGAAACACTCTGTATATTCAATAAACTAAGCTGCAAAAACAATTTTTCGACAATCGAAATAAATTAACAGATACTCGAAAGGCACAATTCGATTTTATTATTAAACGAAAACACTCGTAAATGATATGTAACGTAACCGCAAATTAGAAAAAAACCAAATTGGTAAGCTCTCGTTATATATTTTAAATCACCCTGTATATAAAGGTTCTTACTATTATTCGATGAATGCACAATTTTTTTTTTTTTTTCATACATTCTGCAGGCACCGGGTAAATGTTTCTAACTACACGCAAAGAGATATATCACATAAGTATTAACTAAAAAATAAGTTACAAAACTATTTACAGGAATCTGTAAACGGAGTTGGAATTATTTCAATTACAATAATCGTAGTGTATTGCACTGTTTTTGGCAATGTGACAAAGTTGTTTAATTGAAATAGTAGACCCTGCAATTATTTACAATAGATGAAATCTCTGATATCTCGGAATCTGGTCATACCAATTAAAAATAAAATTTTCAAATTTTTAGAGAATTTTGAGGACTTTCATAATCATGGGCTTTCAATATACAGAGTGAATTTTTTTTTTCAATAAATTGAAATGATAAATAGTTTTGCCTTTGAAAGCCCTTGAAATTCTCGGAGAACATTCACTGTTTCTTCAAATATTATTTACAGTAGTATGTGATGCTTAAAATATGTACGACTGGATCCCGAGCAGGAAACCAATAAGCACTCAAAGGTCTCACAAGTTAAAATTTGGATCAGTCCTTGTATACAAAAAACCAACTAAAGTAATTGAGCTATTGACTTTACAATAGCCAGTTACAATACAAAACAAGGACCTCTTCTTTACAATACAAATTTTATTAAAAATTGTTTTTTTTTTTTATACATAATACTAATACTCACTTTTTTTAAAAAAAATTTACGTGTGTGTGTAATTCAGTGACACTTTTTGTTTTCGTATTACAGCCCTCTCTATTTAGATCTGATATGTCACAGAGTAGTTGACGTTCGAGGCTCACACTTTGTCTTGATGAGGGTGCGCCACTGGCTCGTCCAATGAATTTTCTACGGGTTTTATTGGCGATATACATTTGTCGCCTTCTAGAGACCTGTAATGACATTTTAATTTGATTGACTCATTAAGGATTGACTGAATAATATTAGAGAGTTATTGGACGTGCAATAAGGACAAGCAGTATTTAAATTAGCCTTATTTTGACATCTACGCATGCGCATTTGGGTCTGAAAATAAGGATTTCCTTAATAAGGTTACTGCTTGTCTTTATTTGTGTATGGTTAGTGCGAGGCAGTAAACTTCCCTTATTTCAAATTTCTGACATTTTGGACGACTTTGACGTTTCGCTTTTCGACGGTGACCTAATTTTACTTGGAAAATGTATTTTTTACAGTAGTTTTCCATTTTACTGTAGGTAGCATCGAAAAATGAGTATCGGCAGAAAATCACAAACAAAAATAAACACTTTTTGAGGTTGAAATTTATAAACATAGCTATCAGCTGTCAAAATTATGAATACAAAATAAGGTAATACTCTAGCACCTACTACAGTCTTCCAATAACTGTTTTTTTCTTGGAAAAATAGTGCTGATGCACTAATAAAATAACGTAGATCCTTAATACTGCGAGGCAGTATTTATTAGTTCCAATAACTCTCTATTATGTAAATTAAAAAATACTAACTTACATGGACGGTTGTGATTGGTTGCTACTGCTTCCCTCCACATTGTCAGAAACTGTAGCACTTTCCTCGGTATTTAATTGGTCGCCAGCAGCTGCGCTTTCTACTATCATATTGGAAATTGAGCCTGCACTTTCCACTGTCACAGTGGAAATAGATGGTTCTTCTTTCATCTCAAGACTGACTTCCTCTTTAATCACGGCACTGGCTTCTTCTTTGATACCGAGACCAGTTTCGGAGATAGAGTTTTGGCTCTTTTCATAGAAGGAGGCCGCACTGAAGTTCGCCCAGCCCGCTGTCGGCGATACTTCGCACCACAGGTCACTGGTGGCGTCAGTGGTGCTGGCCAAAGTGCTCCAGGGATCTGCTTTTGGTGAAGACCAAGCTAGAAATTGTATTTTTTTGTTAACTTTGACTAAAGGCTATAAATTGTTAACTCACGATCCACATCCATAATATCTTCACCGCCAGGTGGACTTTCATCGTCGCTGTCGCTGCTATTATCTGCCGCTTCGCCTTGGTCCTTTTTCTCGATGACGGTCTGAAAAGTGTGATCCCGCTCTTCGAAAATCTGATCCTCGGCATCAAAAAGCGTGTTGATACTTTGGGCGCACACTTGCTTGAAAAGGTCGTCCCTTTGCATCATTTCGTTTTCGGTCAGGTCAAAATTGACAAAATTGTCTGAAGGATTATCGATTGTTCTACAAGAGAAAACAAGTTTTAAGCAGAACTAAGAAATATCAACGACTCACTGTAATGTATCATCACCATCATTGAAAGCATCATCACTGAAGCCGCTATATCCGTCGATATATTGAGTGGGTAAATTTTGCACTTGGTAATGTGTAAAACTCTATAAAAAAACAACAAAAATAGCATTTTTTATTAATAAATAAATAAAAAATTACCTGTTGTTGTAGCACACTATTTTGCGGATAAGGCAAATCATTGAAATCATCATTATTATCCTCTAAATTATTAGGATGTTGACCACCCAAAAGCCTCTCTTGGTTTTCAATAGCTTCAGCCAAATTTTTCGCAATAAACTCTTCAAGTTCCGTTGCCGTTTCCGGTTTCAGCTCTTTCAACTGCTCGCCCAAAGCCGTACTTGACTTAATCTGCACTATCGTATTCACTAAACTAATCAAATGTCCCATGTAACCTTGCCGGATGGCCTTTTTCTCCGTTTGCTGTTCGTCGTTGTCTTTCCACGCTTTCATTATCCTCTCCAACAAATGGCAGTCTTGTATCAAGTGCCTGCACAAAGGACTTATGTTTTTAGTGTCACCGTCGTCTATGTTAGCTCCCGCTTCCAATACAATGACCATGCAATTTTCCACTTGCGTGTGCAGGAAATTGTTCCAGGAGTATTTGAAAAAGAGGTCTAGCAGTACAGTGAATGTGCCTAAAGTCATTAGTTGTTCGTACAATTGGCCGTAGTCTGAGTTTATTAGAGTGGCTAGCAATCGGACTATTTGAAGACGCGTATTGCCCACTGGCGGATCTAGGAGACCGATTGTTGTGAAGACTGAACATTGCTGTTGAAATATAAATATAATATCAATTTTTGTTTTAACATTAATAATATGTATTATAACAAGTGTGTTTTTAGAAAGAATTTCATTTTTCATTTATTATTTGTTCTTACTTTTGGTGGTTCCAATAATAAATTATGAAAATCTTTGATTCTAAATGCAATAGCTTCGGTAGTGTCCCGCACAACCTTCTGCCTATGCTCCAAATCCACTGGTTCTTCGCTCATGTTGGTACTGTAAATACTGGTAGCTATACTAGCGGCACTTCTAAAAAACGGCGTCCTGACACTATAAGAAATAAAAATGTGAAATACTAGTTTGAATAATAATTTGCTTCAATTGTACCTGGTATTATTTACATCTAGTAAGGTTAAAAGTACTTGGATACCGCCTACGATGGAACTTTCACACTTTTCATTATCGAATATTTGGTCTAGCAGTAATTTAATAGTTTCAGGCCTAAAAATACATAAAAATATACATCCTGCAAGGATTAAATTATAATTAAAACATACGATTCAAGAGTATTAAGCAAAGGATCGGGATCGGCACGTTCCGTAGAAGTATTCTGAGTGTCCCTAGCCGACTTGAGAAAATCACACAGTAATTGAGCAACATTATCATGTCTCTCCTTTTCACTGTTAGGATTCAGCAAACAAACGAGTTGCTGTATCAGCTTATGATCATCTAACCACTAAAATAAGCAATTCACACAAAAATTCCAAAATGACCAAAAATCACTTACACTGAGTATATTGTGACGGATATCGACGCCTTCGACTTGCGTCATCAGTTTCAGCGTCAGATCCATGATGGCAGAGGTGCGCAAGTTTTTCAACAGGAACGGCAAAAACGTATCCCTATCTTTTAAAAAATCTAGGACCTGCAAGCACGTGAGTTGATAGGAGAGCCAGTTCTGGTGGGAAAAAGACAAATTAAATTGTCGGGAACGAGGTTTGAGGATGGGGCAGAACAGGAAGAAAAAGTCCAAGTTATTGTTTTGGTTTATTAATACATAATTTTTTTTTTTGCAACACAAAATGAATGATGGTTGAATGTGGGATGAAATTCATGAAATGAATGATTTAAAAAAGCTTACTAACCTGTTCAGTCTTTCTAGCTATAAGGCCGCCCATAATTTTACTAAAATACGATGCCAGTAGAGGATTCAGCGGCGGCTCGTTTCCCAAAAATTCATACAATTTTTCCAGCAATCTGTAACATTATTAAAGGAAATATTTTACTCTATAAAAATATAGACATGGGCCTGTTTCTTAACAATCATTTACCAAAATGGAATAATTATTAATATTGAAGACATTATTACCTTTCGTCTCCAGCTAATCTTTCATTAAGGGCTGGAACATCACAGGTGAGCAATTCGCAAGCAACCGTTGGATATTTGAACCGGTCCTTTTCGCCAATTTCCATCGAAGGTTCTCTAGTCGTCAACGTTACTAGCTCATCCATGACATCCGGTTTTAACAAACTGGATTTTAAACAACATTTACTTTTGAGATAGTTATGTATGTACCAAGTGTGCAATTAGGGTGTGGACATTCACTGCAAGAGTCTCCAGCACCATTTGCGCATATGGTACATACAAAATTTTATGTACAACTGCTGTTTTAATCCAAATATTATTTAAACAAATTGTAAATAAATAAAGAAATTACCTTCCTTCAAAGTCAGATATTAAAAAAAACTGGTGGGTATTTGTAAATTACCAGTAGATATCTATATTATAATCATTGGTTCCTTAAATATAACCATTTTTTAACAGTATTTGTTGAATTTCTGACCCGTATACCAACCTAAATTAAAAAAATAAAAAAATTCCACTTACAAATCAATCAGATTTTTATTTTGAACCCTGCACTCGCTGATGATATCTTCAGAGTCCATAACTTCTTGCAAAGTGACGTCCTCTTTGGCCAGCAGAGCGTCCATTTGGGACGAAGAGTTCGTGTTGTACTTCCAAAACATTTTGCTTGAGGCTAGAATAGATATAAATATTTGTTATTAATAAAAACTCTTTTACTGACTTTAGTTGAAAACCTTCAAATCCACAAACATTATTTTTCTTTACCCAGCTGTTATCAATTACAGATCTAGGAGAAATGGTAATAAGATTTTACACTCGAATATCAGCTCTATTGGGCTCAAAAGTTACCTTATCAAAATGCTCTGATCAAACTTTAGTTCTGAAATGGGGTTTAAGTGTGTGTGTTTAAATGTTACCGCTGCACATTTATCAATATTTGAAGTCATCAGTAAATATTAGGCTTGAAGAGTGACTGAAACAACTGGGCAAATCATTACTTCCTTGTGGTACACCAGAATTTGCCAGGAAGGGTTTTGATACACAATTACCACCTTTTACTTGTTGGTATCTGCATTGGAGGTGAGATTATTTGCATAGTAAAGTTTTTAAAGAAAAACCTGATTTACCCACTTTTTCTGATAAAATAAAAATACTATGGTTAACTTTATAGAAAGCCTTCTTAGCACTATCCGTCAGAATCATCTCACTGTTAAGTGCTGCCGTTATACAATTTGTCATTACACAAAAATTTTTAACAGTGGATCTAGCAGGTAAAAATCCATGTTGTTGGTGAGCAAAGTAATGTTTAAAGTGAAAAGTCGATGGAAAAGTATTATTTTCCAGGGCTAAATTATAGATTGAAGTTATTCTGCATAACCTTCAAATATGTATGAGTATGTAGGTATATTATTATCCTTTCCTGTTGCTTTCTTTGGTTTTAGTTTTCTTATGACTGCCATGAGAACGTCCTCAGTAATTAATAAGAATTGATAAGTAACCTGATAGTTAATAATTCTTCCAGCAAAAGAGTATTCATAAACAGATTCAAAATAGGTACTGTGCGTTTCCTTGGAGTCTGATTGTCTTACTTTCTATACACCGTGACTTATGTATTTAGCCCATGCATTAAAAGTCGTCCAGTTTGCAAATGGATTAGTACAAAAAGCATCCAAACTACCTGCAAGCTAATGAACTGGATACGTAAATCACCCCATACAATAAATATGGTTGATTTGTTCCTTTTTTTATCATCAAATTTATTTCCTACAATGGTCCAAAATCAAAATTTCATACTTCTAATCCAATTTTATCCCCAGTAGAGCTAGAAATGAGATTTTCATGCATCTCTAGTGTACATTTCAGATCAAGTAGAGCTGGTAATAAGATTTCACCATTTTTCAGGAACTTGCTTTCAAATGATCAGCATGGCTTTGTGGACGGTAGGTCGTGTGTGACAAACCTGGCTGCCTTTTTGGACCTGTAACTACTGGAAGGACAGAGACAAATTGACAATAGATAGATATACAGATTTCCAGAAGGCTTTTGACCGAATCGATCATTACTTGCTGTTATACAAGTTGGAACCCTTTGGCTTGTTTGGCGGCCTGTTTGGGTCCTATTTCTGTGTTAATCTAACTATGTTGAGCATGAGCCGATGTTCGTCCCTATTTCTGGTGTACCTCAAGGATTCAACCTGGGTCCTCCACTATTTAATATATTCATTGATGACCTTATTGGTGCAATTACATGTAACAAGCTGGCATATGCTGATGATCTGAAGCTTTTTTGCCGATAGCCTCTGTAGAGGATTGTATAACTTTGCAGGACAGTATAAATCTTCTTGATAGTTGGTGCACTTGCAACAAATTATATTGGGTCTTCAAAAAAAAAAAAAAAATCAAAGATTGCTTTGATTACGAAAACATAATATGTCGCATTATTGTTTCTTTATTGGTCAGGATTTTTGACATGACATTTTGACATTAAAGTTCATTGACAAAATTGAAGAAAAATATTGCTAAGACATACGTTTAAAAAACCATAGCAATTTTTGATTGGTTTATTTTTGAAGACCCGATACCTTAACATTACCAAATGCAATATTGTGAGCCTTCACAGACTCAGAACTCTAGTCATTTTCAATTATTCAATTGGTGTTGCTTCCTGGATCAGGCTTAGACAGACTCGTGATTTTGGAGTGGGTTTTGATTATCAGCTTACATTTATTCCACAGGTTGAGCATCATTTCAAAATCTGGATTTCATTATCCGAATCAGTGAACATTTCACTCAGAAATCTATTTTAAAGCTTTTGTATTACACTTTTATTCGCTCCAAGTTGGAGTTTGCTTCTTCAATATGGAATCCTATATATAATTTCCATGTAGCCAGTATCGACTCCCTTCAGAGAAGATTTCTTGAATATCTGTCATACAGACTGGATGCTATGTATGCTCTCAGGTGTATAATCTGTATTTATCGCGTCATGATGAGCTGCCCTTGGTAATTAGAAGGAAGATTCAAATCAAATATGCTTTATTGTCAAGAATAGTCAGGGATGCTATTTCTAGTACAATTGTACTAGATCTAGCACAATCGCGTTTCACCTAGTACCCTAGTACCTCTCTCTTGAATCTAGTACAATTTGGAAAACACCAATGACGATTACACTATCATTCAAACAAGTGATATTTATTTACCTCCAATTAGCAGAGCCTACATTTGTATTTAAAGGATTCCGCCCAAATCCTATGGAAATTGGATTTATATCAAATGTGCTGAATTTTTGATATTTTGTAGAAGTCATGGTCCTTATCAAAAGTTACCATTGCGCTAAATTCGAAAAATTTACAGTTTTTGAGAAAATCCATGTTAAGTCGGAGTCTCATGCATCCGTTTTCCGATGAAATATGTCCGAAAAACCTTCTATTCTGACATAATCGTATGAAAATATGTCAAAATAGAAAATTTGTCGGACATCTTTCGTTGGAAAACGGATGCATGAGACTCCGCCCTTACACTGGTAAGCGGTGTTTCGGAACGCGATGTTCAGGTGTGTCGGTAGCGTCTCTAAAATTGCACTGGGGCGAGTTCAGGAATGACACACTCAGTGTGAGTATGACACCGGTGCGACCTTAGAGCAGGTAAAATCTGTTTTTTTTTAAAGATAATTCCCCAAGTCAAAAATTTAGTAACTATGTTGGCAACACAAGCCTTTTCTACATAAAAAATTTGAAAGCATTGACAGTTTTACATTGTATTGCCAACAGAATGTCATTTTGACTTTTATCTTAAAAAAAAAACAGACTTTAAACGTAAAAAGGAGTAGTAACATGGAATTGGAAAATGAAGCCGTTATTTTCCAGGTATTTTGGCAAGGGTACTTGCATGGAAAATTAATATATTATTATATTAAATATGATTATTCCGGAAGTTATACAAATATTAAGTTTTGTATATACCGGGTGTCTACTAGATTAGTTTCGCGCTGGCATTTGCTGGGTTTTTTTTTCAATGGTAAAGATTTTTGGTATAGAGTATAGGTTTGAGAAATGTCATCTTTTGACACATATGTCAATGTTTGGTAACTTCCGGTTTTACTGGAAATGGCCCTAACTTCGTAATTTCGAATGGCATCCCAAGAATTTTTTCGCATTTTTGGGATCTGCAGATCATGATGTGTATGAAAACGTCAAATCTGAACATTTTTGAAGAAACTTAAGAATTCTCGATCAAAATTTATTTTTGAATAGAAAGTGACAGAATGGTCACTAAATTGTTTTTTTCAAAACACACGATCGTAGAAAAATGCGAATGCCAAGTTGTTATCCTTTGCTTGTTCTCCAAAGGCTTCCAAAGTTGAAAAAATCACATTTTACGTGATAACTCAATGAAATCAGTGAAATCACCCAACTTTCACAACAAGAGATTGAAGATGAACTTAAATGCTAGTTTTCTTATTTTCTTTGCGACATAGTCGGCATGTACTCTCCATGTGAAGTTTTGATCAATGAAGATTCCTAGATATTTTAAAGAGGATTTTCTCTGTATAATTTGATCACAGTTACAATTTATATCTAAAATAGAGTAATGCAGTCTTAAACTATGATAATCCGGCAAGGATTTCGATGATAGGGGAAAGCAACAAATTTGGTCTTATCGACATTTGAAGAAAGTAGACTGCAATTCAGCCATTTTTTTATTTTATGCATGGCTATTTCGGCGCTCTTTTTTGCACTTTCTCAGTCTTCACCCTGAATTACAATGCCTGTGTCATCAGCAAAGCAATATATTTCCCCATCATCAAGAACAGATAGAATGCCATTCATATAAACATTAAATAATAGTGGAGAAAGTACTATACCCTGCGGCACACCACACACCACCTCCTGTTTTTCACTCAGGTCATCCGATATTCTCACACATTGTTTTCTCCTATTTAGATAGGATTTAACAAATTGTTTTGGAGTACCTCTTATTGCCATGTTATCCAAGCGCCTAAGTAGAATGTGATGTGCCACAGTGTCAAATGCCTTTCTCAAATCCAGAAAGATCCCAATTACCTTTCTACCCTGATCAAAATTATGTAAAATTTTCTCGGTAAATCTACAAAGTGCAACTTCTGTACTTGAGTTCTCTCTAAAAGCAAATTGGTTACTGTGAAGCAGGTTATTTTTTCCAGGTATGCTAACATTTTGTGTTTAAAACATTGTTCCACTAATTTACCAATTGTGCTGGTTAGTGTAATTGGCCTATAATTATTTGTTGATTTTCTATCTGCCTGCTTATAAATTGGAATAACTACTGATGTTTTGAGGCTTTCTGGAAAAATACCTGTGTCAAAAATTACATTTACTATGTGTTTAAGAGGCTTGATAATGGCACTTGAGTACTTTTTTATTATGTCAGAGCTAATACAATCATCCCCTCCTTTTACCCCATTCTTTAAGCTTTGTATATATTTAGCAATTTCAAAATCTGTAATGTTCCCTAGAAAAAATGAGTTAAGTGTCGCTTCCTCCCTATTTGTCTCACTAGTTTTTTCTATATCCTCTGCCAGTTTTCTACCTATATTACTAAAATATGTGTTAAATTCATTAGCTATTTGTTTATTATCAGTTAGTTCTACATTATCACAGTCATAAATGCTCCTAATCCCTGTATGACAGACCTGATCACCAGAATGAAGCTATCACTGTGATATTATTTTGTAATCTAGTGATTTACTCTGTGATCTGTTTTTGGCTGTTTTTTGTTGTCCTTTCAATTTTTTAATTAAGAAATAATTTATTGTATGTACTCTTTTTAAAAATTTTATTTATATGTGGTTTGTTATTAGCGAGGGGTAGGTCACTCCCCAATTAGGTGTACAAATGTTGAAAGGTAATTGGAAAAATACATTCAATTACCTCAATTACCTTGAATTACATTTAATTACATTTAATTACTTTCAATTACACCCAATTACATTCAATTACGTTCAAATACATTTAATTAATTACATTCAATTATATTCAATCACATTCAATTACATTTTAATTACATTCAAATACCTTCAAATACATTTAAATACATTCAAATACTTTCAAATACGTTCAATTACATTCAAATACTCTCAAATACATTTAATTAGATTCAAATATTTTCAAATACGTTCAATTACATTCAAATACTGTCAAATACATTTAATTACATTCAAATACTTTTAAATACATTCAATTACGTTGAAATACTTTCAAATACTTTCAATTACGTTGAAATACTTTCAAATACATCTAATTACAATCAATTACTGTCAATTAGATATAAATACATAACCCCTCCATCTAGGGCTGCCATTCGTCCGGATTTGCCCGGATCTGTCCTAGTTTTAAAGGCGTCCGGGGGGATTTTTTGAAGTTATCCGTGTTTTAATACGCTTTACGGCATCTTGAAAAAAATCTCGAATAACTCCGCGAAATTGACAAGAATCATGGAAATCGTCAGTCGACATCATCAGTTTTATTTAGCCCGCGTGTGCGCGACTCAAGTTTCACGTTCACGTGTCGTTAGTCATTTTTGGAGCTCGGTGAAAGCTAAAAAAAAACCCAAAAAATTATTTTTTGTTAAAATAATGAGTGGTTCTCGAAGGCTTGAAATAAACTTTTTTGGGCGTGGCACCCAAAAAAATCTTGTGCCTCTGGCGGCGCCTGAGGTGGACTACCTTCTAGTGGTGTCCGGGTTTGAGGGGTTAGAATCCAGGGTTTTTGTAAAAATTATCCTAGGTAACAAATTTCATAAATGGCAGCCCTACCTCCATCCTCCATCTTTATTTCCAATAAAAACTAAAACCTGGGTCAAAATCATATTGAAATGCAACGTTTAGACGCATATTCGGTATTTTTTCCCTAATTAAACATTTACCCAAATTTTACGTTGGTCAAATTATTGGATTTTTAATTAAAGATAAGAGTGCTGATCAAGAAAGCTGCGATGTTGCTAACAAAAATATAATCTGTCTTGCAAACTGGTATGTCGTGAACAATGAATGTGAGTTAGAATCAAGTGAAGATCAGACAAATTTGAAAATGGAAAACTATAATTTAACAATGACTGAATCCAACTGGGAAGATGAAAAATACAAAATTGAACAATCGACCTTACAAAAAATAAAAGAACATTTTGCTGTCAAAGCTAAAAACCAACCAAGCAAACGTAGGCAATATTCTCAGAAAATTGAACATAAAAGCAAAGAATATAAACGTAAATTATGCAAACAGAAAAAAAAAACACGGGATCTTTCAAGTGACGAAAACAGTTTATCTGATTATTCATTGCACGATAGCGAGTCAGACTATGACATTCAAGACATTTTAGGAGAAGAGGAAATGAAAGAGCAAGAGCAAAGGGAAGGAAATGTAGAAATTGATGAAATATATAAATCTGGATCATGGGTGCTTATAACCTACATTGGCAATAAGTCAGTCAAGCGCTATGTTGGACAGACAATAGAAATTACCAGCAAATACCTAGTTGTTAAATTTTTGAAGAGACAAAATAATGTTTTTATCTGGCCAGACAAAGAAGATATAGATTGTGAAGTTTCTCAAAGCAATGTATATATGGTTCTTCCTGAGCCGGAGTTTAATAAACGAGGCCATTTACAATTCCCAGTGGATTTCTAAAATTTAAATGTTTATTAAAAGTTTATAAAAAAATACACTGATCAAAACGAAAAAGGAGCAACTTTAGAAATTAAATATAATTTCTTTATTAAAATAATTTCTTTAAAAAATACGAACATATTCAGAAGTGGCTCCTTTTTCGTTTTGCTCAGTGTATATGAATATTATAAATGTAATAAATTTAGTGTTTAATTAATAAGAATAGTTCTTTAATTTCAGAATTTTCCTACTAGGCTGTTACAACCTGAGTTACTCCGTTATTAGGTAAACAGATGGTAGAATGTAATTGGAAAATACATTTAATTCCCTCAATTACCTCCCAATTACGTTCAATTACATTCAATTACATCCAATTACATTCAATTAGGTTCAATTACAATAAATTATATTCAATTACAATCAATTATATTCAATTACAGTCAATTATATTCAATTACATTTGATTATGTTCAATTACAAACAATTACATACAAATACATTCAATTACAAAAAATAGATGTAATTGAATGTATTTGTAATTAGGTGTACAAATTTTATCGAGTGACCTACCCCTCGGTTATTAGTATTATTAGGGTTGGCATATGACCGGTCAAATATCTTCAGTTCAATTGACCTAGTATTTGACCGGTTATTTGTCAAATTGCTCTGGTCAAATACTCCAATAGTGGGGAGCGTGATGCTATGACGGTAGCATTATTGCATCCATTTATTCCTAGCTGCCAGGTATTACATAACAAGGAAGGGCAAATACTCAAAGAAAGAGATAGACGAGATTTTTAATTGTTTATTTTGAAATATTTACCTAAAACTCCTGAAAGTTACATTTTCAAAACCAGTTTATTCTCCTTCTGATAAACTCTCAGGTATGCAATCTAGATAAAAACGCAATCTGTAATTCCATTGATCGGCAAGTTATCCGCTGACCAATAGAATTATAGACCGGTACATTTTAAGCATCAGAGAGTCAGCAGCAAGTTTAGCTCAAGATGAATAAACCAAGCCTTAGTGGTTTTGTTATTCGTTTCATAAAAAAAAGTGTTGATTTTGTCCTTTTTACCAATGGAAAGAAGTTTTGTTTGTTTCATTTTCTAGAGAAAAATTTTGCTTTATTTTTAATATCAGGTCTTCAAAAAAAAAACCAATCAAAGATTGCTTTGATTTCGAAAAAGTACGTCCTCGAGTATGTCGCATTATTGTTTCTTTATTGGTCAGGATTTTTGACATGATATTTTGACATGAAAGTTAATTGACAAAATTAGAGAAAAATATTGCTAAGACATACGTTTAAAAAACCATAGCAATCTTTGATTGTTTTTTTTTTTTTTGAAGACCCGATACAATAAACTATTGCTTTTACAGGTAATTTTTTTTTAATTGGTCAAATTGATTTGGTCAAATATTCTAGCATCGGTCAAATTCACCGTCAATTGACAAATTTTGACTGGTCAATTGATCGAGGTGCCATCCCTAGTATTAATATTATTATTATGGCAATATTTGTAAAATTGGGCTGCTGCCCGTTGGAAGTGGAAATAAAATAAAAAAAACATTTTCACTGATTTAATGTGATATTTTATCATTACATTTATCGGTTTTATTGAAGACGCTGCAAAAATAATCATTAATGCGATTTGCATCAGCAAAGTTGCTTTGGAAGTAATTATCGAATGTAATACCACAAGAGGCTTCAGGATTACCGGATAATACTTTTACCTGTCACGAAACGTGAAGGAGGAGTGGTGTTGCTGGTAACGCGTTGAGTGTCACGTAAAAGTATTAGGTAATCCTGAAACATCGAGTGGTATTCAAAAGGTTATACAACAAACTAAATTTCAATACTTTAAAATTTAAAAAAATTGCTATAATAGAATTTGCTATAAATGCCACTAAGCGCGATAATTCCAAAAGGCTTATCACTTATTAAGCCTATCGGGTCATATGGGAATAATGTACAGTGAGTTGTATAACCTGAGTAATTACCTTTATTAGTATGATAAACTTGAAAATCTTGTAGTGTTTTCCACAGTTGACCCTCAATGAAAGTTAAATATGCTACTTTTTCGCGGAGAATAGCAGCCTTTGCCAAATTTCTTAGGCATTCTCCCTTTCCTTCATTAGTGTTTAATTGCTGTTATTAACCAAGGGGCAGGTGGTTGGCAATATTGTGTACTTAGCTTATAAGTCTTAGATTAAGTATACTTTGTTATAAGACTTCTCGACAAAAAAGTACATTTTGTTTCTTTTTTTCTTTCTATCTATAAAGACTGTTTTTTTCTAAAACTACACATTAGCACATACCAGTTTCAAACTTGCAGGGCAAAAAAAAAGAACTAAATGGGTTTTCTACGCGGTTTTCTTACAGTATCATCCTAACGATAGGGTGATAAATAGTTAATTCCAAACAAAATAAATAAAAACCTTATTACTTTGCACTGATGAAAATTGCAAATTATTGTTCAATAACCAAGAGATTTAAAACAAACAACAATAAATGCTGATAAAACATAAACAATGCAAAATATGCTTGAATCAGTCACTTAGCAAACAAATTAATAAAATACTGATAATGCTCTAAATCCAATATAAACCCAAATCAACTAAATAAAAGCCACTTACCTTCTAAAATCAGTTTTTAAATAAAAATCTCTCTTCGAACAGTCTGGGTTAGGTTCATTTAGTTTGACCTCTGTCGAAAACTGCACCGATACTTCTAGCTGTTTCGCAAATATACACGGACAATCTTGCTGGTTTCATAAAAAACGAATTGGCAGGTTTAAAATGAAAATATTATCGGAAAATCACAGGAAAAAGGGAAAATTTCAATTGTACACAATGAAAACTTTGATCACCATTTTTCATTCATAAAAATTTTCCAAGAATGCACTACTTGTCAGTTGTCATCGTTTGACGACCTTGGACTTTTGTCAAGAGTGAAAGTTTGTTGGCGGCAAATTTAAATTGGGTAAGGTATTTTTATTAGTTGCAATTTAATTATTATTAAAATACAGGCAATTAGGTTAAATATGCATAAAAATTAAATAATTGTTTATAATCTTTGGTTAAATAACTTTTGTATGGGTTTAAAATTATTTCATATAGGAAAACCTGAAATGAATGAAAGCGCTACGTTATGATGTCACAAGTATGCCTTATCTAATAGAAACTTAAAATTAAAATCATATAATTTTCCTAATTTTCATAACAAACAATAAAACCCTATAACGACAATCAATTTATTTACATTAAAAATTTTCACAATAATATGTGTACAAAACTTGCTAATAAAAGCCACTAAAAAAAAAAGGAAAAAAATTAGGATCTAAATGAAGGATAAAGAGTTTGATCCACGGTAACAGGCAACATTTTTCCGGCCACAACAACGTGAGGTCCCGAATAGTACCTCATCAAGAGGCTAGAGCCTCTTTTCAGCTGATTGGTTTTCGCCAAATCCATCCAACAATCGATCCAGGAATTGTAATGAGGCATATAAGTCGGCGATCCAATGAGGAGACCCGAATTAGTTACGGCCATACAATGTGAGACCACTTGGAATGGATACATTACTGCTGTCGCAATAAACTACAAAAAAGTTGATTATTAGTTAAAAATTATAATACAGAGGTTTCAACTAATTCATAAGCATTATCTCATAACTTTAACAGTTCCTGCGATAGCAAAACTGTCCCTATAAATTAGTTGGCACCCTGTATAAAATTAATAAATTTGTCTTACGTTCATGGAAGCAGCAGTGAAAACTTTAAATTCCTTATCTTCCACTAAATATCTATTAACAGTGTAGGTAAGGCCTCCCGCAAGGATTATGGCCAATATGTCTCCTAAAACCCTAGGCACAAGCCCACTGAAGAAACCTAATACACCGTTTTGCTGGTAAATTTCCTTAATAGAACCGAAAACTCCTCTGCAAATTATTCGATAATTAATCCAACTTCAATTTAAATAAATCAATCATACACATATTTGGTTTCTTTACCAACAAACTGGGCCATCATTCTAACTGTGATTACATGGAATGGTTGGCTGATTAAAATAGCGGCAGTGCGACTCATGACATCACATTTCATTGCAGCTACACATTTCTTCTTGCGGGTTTCTTCCGTCTCTTCTTCCTCAAACTCTAGGTCCTGGTTTTCAGGTAATAATAGGTAATCGGTGCATCTTTGAGCCACTATCGAGCTTAATACGTTGCCGCAAAGTTTCGGGGCTAAGCCTACATACAGTCCTCCAAAACCGTCTACTGATCTTATGTGTTTTACTACAAATATAATGTTGGCATTCAAAAGGCAGAAGGAAAATTGTGGTGTCCTTACCGTACTCGAAAATGTTAGGTAGTTTCAATGTAGGTTTGCCGAAAATGTTTGTTGCGGCTCTGGGCGGTATAGGCTCATAACCGATCTATTTTGTTAGCAGAATATAAATGAATGTTGAAAATTTGAAAATAATACCTACTTACCTGTATGAGTACTTTAGCATACTCGAAAGGGTGGGCGGCAGTGCTTACCAAAGCTCTAAGGCCAACATTCGCCCATCTCGATTCGTTATTATGGAACATAATTTCAGGATTTGACATTTTCGAGTGAATTTTTTTTTAATTATTTAACTAAATTGATGTTTTTGTTGGTGGCCGCCCCAAAACTACTTGTATTTGTTTTTGAAATTTTTTGGGTTGGAGTGAAAAGAAACAAGAAAAGTGTCAAATGGCTCGTTTCAAATATCGATATCGATATTATTCACTCCAAGAGAGCTACTCCAATTGCAGAACTAGTTCGGAACCGATTCTAGTTGAACCGAAAGCACGTTTTATAGTGATCTGCTAACGATATAATTTGAACTTCGCATGCGAATAGTTCCGAATCTTTATCGTATCGCAAACGAAATTAATATCGATATTATTAGTCCATCATATCGATAATCGATATTCACTACTACTACTACTTCGTTTACCTTTACCCATAACCTAACTTTATTTCTCATAAACACAAACATCGTGCACATTCTAAAAACATGTTTAAATCCAGCAAATAAATAGAAAATGGGGCTCACGAAAGACTATTTACGTTACGTACCGGCCGGCAATTTCAATATTATAAGCAGTCAAAACTGTAATTCGGTATTTGTGACTTTACAGGGCCAAATTGGACGGTTTATCGCAGTAGGTGCCAGCGAACACATCATTATATGGGATTTGAGGCTCGGAGAAAAGGTAAGGGGCTTAAAATATCCAAAATCAAGCTATACTGTTAAGAATATGTTTTAATGTGAAATTTCGGTTAATTCATGAACAATTTTTAAAGGATTTCATTGGATCAAATCACAATTTTTATTTATTTTAGGATTTGTTTTAATTGATCTCTTTTTAAAAGTACCTTTGGTTGAAACTTACTTTTAAAAAGCTTACTCTGGGGTTTAATGGAAGAGTCCCTACTCCCTAAGGATCCTTGTCATCGTTCTTGTCCTTTATCCTGATCGCCATTTGAACCCATATCGTATTTCTCCCTGTTTGTTGGTGTTATGTTAACCCCAATTCTGTCCTAATTTATATGAATTCATGGGTAGGTACGTTAGATTATGTAGGTACCTGCTACTATAAATTTTTCACCCATAAACCCCTTCAGGTGCAGAGGTGACACATTTTTGGAAAATTCAAAATTTTCTCAGACCATCATCTTCTGCAATTTTCTCTTGAAGATCCTGTTTACAAATTTTCCAGTGCAGTCATAATAAGGGAAATAAAATCTAATATAAGAACACTCTTATATTATCTATCTATCGAAAATTATGAAATAATCTTGTTCATTCATTTATTCATTACGAGATAACCCCATTAGGAAAAAGTATTACAATTAACAAAGGTAGGTGAAACAACAAAAAACATCACTATAATACTATTCTACTGGAAAATTATTTAACTAAATATGTAATATGTAATAACAATGCTGACAAAAAAAACTGAAGTTTGATTTCAAAGATAAATAATCTCGGAAATAACTATAAATAAATTCAAGAACAATGTTCAAGATTTTTATAGACAAAGCAATAGCAAAAATAGTGAAAGGTAGGTTAACACGTTGACGGACATCGACGGTCATAGACGTCCATGTCATTATTGGTTCCACGGACACTTGCAATTTTCGACGGCCCATGCCGTCGTCATCAAATTCATAGTTTGCAAGCATCGACGGTGCTTGCCGTCGATTTACCATGTAGAACTATGCAAAGTGTCCCAGTAAACAACACGAGGCAGGGAAAATCTTTTGATTGGCTCATTTTCATATGGTGATTTGCGTAGGGGGAGAAGGCGCGCATCAGGCCGTTGTGAGCATTTGCAAGCACGTGTTTTCGGCAATTACAATGTGGTTTGTGTTGATCTATCGTTATCGTTAGTTGTTGAAAATGGATAAATAATAAATAAATAAATACTTTATTTACGGACATGCCATTTTTACAAAGGTAGACTTAAAGTGTAGGTACACGCAATAATAAATATTTGGAATAACAAGTAGGCAACAGACAAATTAGTATAAAAAAACAATATTACATAAGCCTAAACAAATATTTTGTAGTAGGTATCAAAACAAACAACATAATACGCTTAAAATTGAATACAAATAGAAAAAACGATCATTTTAGGATCGACTTTAAAATTATTTTGAATCTATCCAAACTTATGTTAAAAACATCCAAATCAGTCTTCAAAATAATATCATTCAGAGAACGACAGCTTCTAAGTAAAGGTGAATGGTAACCATAATTGGTTCTACGAAAATCAAGGTTAAACAATGTGTTTCCTCTTAAATTGCTAGATGGTACATGTAAGCCAATTCTAGCAAGTAAGTCTGGAGAATCAATAGAATTATTAACAATCTTAAACAAAGTACACATATCAAAAAACTGTCGCCTCTGGTTCAGATTTTCAAGATTTAGGACAGACATTAACTCATTATAATTTATAGATTCACTTGGGATGCCCAATCGATATGCAATGGATCTTAAAAACTTTTTTTGGATTCGTTCCAAGTGGGAGATGTGCACAGCATAACAAGGGGACCAGACAGGGCAAGCATATTCTACAACTGATCTAACAATTGCACAATAAATGTTTCTTAGGGTGTAGATATTAGTAAATTCTTTTAGTGACCTGAACATAAAGCCTAGTAATTTCATTGCTTTATTAGCAGTTATTTCAATGTGCTCTGTGAAGCTTACATTTGTGTTGAAATAGACTCCCAAGTCTCTAATAGTTTCAACCCTGTTAATCTCCAAATCATTAAGAACGTAATTATGTAAGTAAGGTGTTTTTTTCCGAGAAAAAGTAATAACCTTACACTTCTCAACATTTAAGGGGAGTTTGTTTCTTTGACACCAAGTCCGAAACATATCCAAGTCCACTTGCAATAATTGAGCATCCCTGACATCCCGAACAACCATAAAACACTTCAAGTCATCAGCCAAGAGCAAAAAATCGGAATTTCTGAAGACACCTGACAGATCATTAATAAATATACTAAACAGCAAAGGAGACAGGTGTCCTCCCTGAGGCACCCCCGTGGTCACCGAAAATACTGAAGAGATTTAATTCTCAATTTTTACAGCCTGTTTTCTACCTGTGAGAAGACTTCCAATCAAGCTTAATAGACCTCCATCCAGCCCCACATCGGCCACCTTCTCCAATAGTATCTTATGGTCAACCCTGTCAAAGGCCTTGGAGAAGTCAGTGTAGACCGAGTCAATCTGACACTTATTCTCCAAGCCCTCCAACAGAGCCTCCTCATAGACCAGAAGATTAGTCAATGTAGATCTACTCTTAATAAAGCCATGCTGTTCCGGTACAATAACATGTTTCAAAATTGGTGTAAGAAAATCCGTTATTATAGACTCAAATACCTTAGAAAAAATAGACATTCTGGATATGGCCCTATAGTTTTTAATATTATTTCTTTCTCCACTTTTAAACACAGGAGTTATATAGCTTAATTTCCACATATCAGGAAACCGTCCCAGCTCTAAAGCCTTATTGAATATTTTACATAATATCTCTGAAAGAATACAACTACAATTCTTAACAAATAATACTGGGATGTCATCAGGACCACAACCCAATCCATTCTTCAATGAATGTATCTTGTTAAATATATCAAGAGGGGTAATTAGAACCGAACTGATACTGCAATTAGACAAACTAGATAAATTAGAGACAGGAATGTTTCGATCACTCTCAACACTCACCTCAGTATAAACCGAGGAAAAACTATCCTTAAAGAGATTGACAATTTCATGAGGTGTGCTACCTTCATGCTCATCAAGAAACATAGAACTGGGATATCCACGATTTTCATTTTTCGATCGTACATATCTCCAAAATCCATTTCTGTCCTGTGATGGAAAAGAGGAAAAGCTACGTGTGCAGGGCAAACAATATGTCCCCATCGATGGGTTTTGGAGTTACATAAGATTCCAAAGGTTTTCCCAGCTATATCACTTTGAAAGATGAAAAGGCAGATTCACATACGGAAATTGTAGAGCTTTTTAAAGATCATTTTAGCTCCTTATATAGGGTATATGATGATTCAAACAATTTTGATGTGTTGTGATGTTACTGTTAATTTGGATTTTTTGTCCATTAATGTCATGGATATACATAATAAAATTTTCCAGCTGAAGGATAACTTGGGGACAGATCCAGATAATATCCCTGTTTCTGTCATAAAAAAGCATATATACTTGTTCTCTTACATCCCGTGTGAAATCTACAATAGATCATTGTCCACAGTAACTTTTCCAACGGTTTGGAAGACTAGTTTTGTAACCACAATTTTTAAGAGTGGTGAAAATTACAGTATTGAAAATTACAGGCCAATTTCAAAAATGCCTATATTTTCTAAGATTTTCGAGTCAATAGTAACAGATAAATTAACACCTCCATTCAAGCATATAATAATACCAGAACAACATGGGTTCATGAAAGGCAAATTCGCAATCACCAAGTGTTGGAGTTTGAGCAAGCTCTGTTTGATGCATTGGTGGGGGGGTTATCAGGTGGACGTGATATATACCGACTTCTCCATGGCGTTTGACACGGTCGACCATAAAATTCTGGAAAAAAAGCTGAAATTTCTCAATTTTTCTCAATGACATGAAAGTCTTTGTCACTAGAAAAAATATTCATGACTGTGAAATCTTGCAAGGGGAACTCAACAATTTCTTCAGCTGGTGTTAAGACGATCATTTGGTACTAAACGCTGATAACTGCAAAGTGATGATTTTTAATTACTCGATAAATGGAACCGAACTTGATAGGGTTTATGTTATTAGAGATCTTGGCGTATTTCTAGATGTCGAACTGAATTTTTCTTAATATATTGAAAGAATATCCAATAAAGCCTTGCGATTATTGGGATTTGTAACGCGTAATTTGAGAGATTTTAATAGCATTTACACCTTGAGGAATGCTTATTCAGCTATAGTTCGCCAAATTCTGGAGTATGCAAGTCCTGTTTGGTCCCCCTGTTATGGTAACCATATAAGTACCAACTGAAGAGGGTACAACGAAGATTCTTAAAATAATTATAATTATGATGATATCTTAAAACTTTCAAACATGCAAACTTTAACTGAAAGGAGAGATCATTTGGACTTGTGTATTCTGTTCAAACTGGTGAATAATATAATCCAGTCACCTCAGCTCTTATCTTTGGTTGGTTTTAATGTACCACATAACATAAGAAACAATAGAAAAAAAAAGTGTATTCTCAACCCCTGAAAACCAGAGTTTTTCCATCCTAGTAAAAGTTGAGTTATGTTGGTTGTCCCAATTTATAAGTCCAGTGATAAGTCAGACATAAAAAAATTACAGACCTATATAAATTCTGAGTTATGTTCCTAAGCTTTTCGAATGTCTTATAACAGCCCAATGGGGTGGTATTCTTATTGACGACCACTATGGCTTCATGAAAAAGAGGAAAAATCCTTACATTGAAGCTTTGTAACTCATTTTTCCTCAACAATTACAATACCAAACTTATCTTCTTTCAGGCTCAAGTATTACCAGGAGAAAAATCCGTTGTAACCTCAATCTGTGCAAGTCCAAACAACAGACACTTAGCGGCAGGTTATCAGGACGGCAGCGTCCAAATATACGATTTAAAATCAGCAGAAGTCATTAGCACATTCGCCGGGCATCGTTCAGAAGTCACCACCCTAGCCTATGACGACTACGGTCATAAATTAGCTTCGGGAAGCCGGGACACCGATATAATCGTCTGGGACACTGTAGCGGAAACGGGTTTGTGTAGGTTTTCCGGTCACAAGGGCCCTATAAGCAAGGTTTGCTTTTTGTCCAAAGAAAATGTGCTTATATCGGGATCAAAGGATACTTTTGTTAAGTTTTGGGACTTAAACACTCAGCATTGTTTCAAAACATTAACGGGACATCAAACGGAAATATGGGGCTTGTCTTTGGTGAAAGAAGACAATTATTTGGTTACCGGTTCTGGTGATGCTGAATTAAGGGTTTATAAGTTCTCGCTAAGAGATCCTGATAGTGAAAATGTTAATCCTGTGGAACATTTGGCTACAACTTTGGAATTGGCTACTTTAGAAGAAGGAGACGATACTACTGTAAGTTTAATAGCTTTAGGATTTGTTGTTAGTTGATGTTTTCTGTTTTCTTAGCATCCGCTTCAGTGTCTCAAAGCTGGAACACTTTTGAGAGCAGGCCGTGGCAGAGTGGTGTCATTGACGAACGACTCTTCAGGACAAGTGGTGTGCTGTCACGGTACCGATCAACAAATCGAGCTGTTTTATTTTTGTACTGATGATGAAGCACAAGTGCGATTAAAGAAACGTTTGAAGAAGGAGAGAAAAAAAGAAAAGTAGTAATATTACATTTTGTTGAAAATTTTATATGTATGTACTTTCCATTTCAGGAAAGATGAAGCAATGGAAGTTGAAAACTTAGTAAATAATGTCCAGTTGAGCTTGAGAGACGAAGTAAAAAGACTAAATCCGATTAAACTAGATGGAAAACCTAAAAGTTTGGATTTGGTTTTGGGTAATGGGGGCGAGCTGCGTATAGCAGTGAACTTTTCAGACAACTGTGTCCGACTGTTCAACTTACAGACATCTGTAAAGGTAAGTGAAGCAAATTTTTTCCTGTACAAAACCCAAAAATGTTTTTTTTTAAGGACTCAGAAGCTACTTGTCTTAGAGGTATTTTGAACCAGGGACATCATACTGATGTTAGAGCATTAGCTTTCAGCAGTGACAATTTGGCAATAGTCTCTGGCAGTAGTGAAAGCATTAAAATGTGGAATCGGCCTTCACAAACATGCCTGAGAACCGTGTCTGTCAATAGCATAGTCTTATCAATGATTTTCGTGCCAGGAGACAGGCATGTTTTGGCAGGCCTCAAAGATGGTAAATTGCTTATAATTGACATTGCCTCAGGAGATATTTTAGAAGAAATCCCAGCTCACAGTAAAGAATTAAGAAGCATATGCCTGACAACTGATTTGAGGGGCTGTGTCACAGGAGGGGGCGATCAAACAGTGAAGTTTTGGCAATTTGAACTCATAGTTGATGAATCAAGCCAGTCTAAAGTTAAAGTATTGTCTTTGTTACACAATAGAACTCTGAAACTTGAAGACAGTGTTTTATGTGTTAAATTATCACCGAACAACAAGTTCATTGCTGTTGCCTTATTGGATTCCACTGTTAAAATTTTCTTTGTTGATTCTTTCAAGGTAGTAATCTTTTTTTTTTTTCACAAACAAATTACATTAATAATTATTTTAGTTTTATTTATCTCTGTACGGTCACAAATTGCCTGTACAATGCATGGACATTTCTGATGACTGTGCACTAATAGCTACAGGATCCGGTGATAGGAATATTAAAATTTGGGGCATGGATTTTGGTGATTGTCACAAAAGTATTTTCGCCCACGAAGATACTGTAACGGGTCTACAATTTGTACCAAAAACCCATTTTATATTCACTTGTGGCAAAGAGGGCCGTGTCAAACAATGGGACGCAGATAGTTACAACAAAATTGTCACTTTACATGTAAGAAGTTTCTCAATTCAAATATTACATTGTATATATAAATATATTTGAAGGGTCATTCTGGTGAAGCACACTCGTTAGCAGTCAGCCCCAATGGACAATATGTAGTCTCATGTGGTTCAGACCGTGTATTACGTTTATATGAAAAATCCGAGCAGTTAGTTGTCTTGCAAGATGAACAGGAAGATGAACGCGAGCAACAAGAAGAGTTGGCAACAAGTGAACAAACTGTCGTACCTGGTCAACCAGGCTTAAATCTACCAAGTAGACGGACTATTGGAAGTGAGCGGGCCGCTGAAAGCATTCTAGAATGTCTAGAAGTTAACGAAAAATATCGAGAGCAATTAGCTGAGCATGATGCGCTTCAAGCGGCGTCAAGTCAGACTTTACCACTTCCAGCGCCTCCATTATTAATGCAAGCCTTCAATGCAACCAATCCAGATGATTTCCTATTAGAAACAATTAGAAGAATCAGGCCTAGTGATTTGGAGGAAGGCCTTTTGATCTTGCCCTTTAACGCTGTATGTGAAGTGTTTGCAGCCTTGCCAAATTTAATAGCCCGAGGTGATTGTACTGAGCTCGGTTGCAAAGTTGCCATGTTTTTGTTGAGGTTGCACCATGCCCCTATTGTTGCTAACAAGCTTCTGTTGCCAACATTGCAAAGGTTGGAGAAAATTATGCGAGGGCAAGTTGGAGAACTAAGGGTAAGAAATTTAATATTGGTTTGATTGGGCTAATTGTTGTTATTCCAGGATATGATTGGTTATAATTATTTTGGTTTGCAATTTCTGCAAAGGGAGATTGAGGCAAGAGAAGGGGTGCAGTTGTTCAGGGATGCCACTGTCGAAAGGAAAAAGGGCGACAAGAAGCGTAAGAAGAGAGAGAAGTTGAAACGATCCATTATGGTTTTGAATAGTTAAGAAATAAATTTTTTGTTTTATTTTGAAAAATTATGTTTTATTTGAGTTTGAGGCAGTGGCGGCTCGTGACGCCCAAATTTTGCCCCAAAATTTCATTAAAAGAACACCTCGGATATTTTTCTTTTGTATATTTCTAATAAAATTTTTCATTTCTTAGAGTTGCAAAACAACAGCAGTCATAAGCGCAACTAGGCTCCAAATTTGAGGAGTGCTGCAGCACCATTTTTTATTTATTTTTTTTGATGGGATTTGATGGAAAGGAAATGTGACGCGTAAAAAAAAGTTACTTTCACAAGGGTTTGTACTTACGTCATCATTTGCCTTTTTTCTGAAAAATAGGTTTTTTTATGTCTGAAATTTGAAACAAACATATAGTTCGTTGCATGGCATGAAGGTTTTTACTTACGTCATCCATGACGTCATAACTTATAGAAAAAGTCAGGTCATAGATTAATTCATGGAGCACCTTCGGAATTATTGTTTTGTAATATAGACCGGGAGTTAGACGGACTTGAGTATGCATAATATGAGGACCACATTTTATCAATGGATTGTTGCTGAGAAAAGCTCAAAGATTAATGATCCGGATCTTGCCGGCTCATTTTTTGGTCCATTTTTTTTTCTATCCCCTCTCCTCTCACTTTATAAACGAATTCCATGGAGTGTATGCTATGTATGTGATTTTAACGAGTATTATAGTTCCAATTCAGTTTGTTCTTGTGGTGAAGAAGACGACAGGGTTTTAAACAGAAAAGTTTGTTGAAATTTGCTGTTGCTAGTGGGATTTGAACTCACAACCCTGGGTTTTTGTCCATTGCTCAAGAGGTATGGTGACATAGCTACAGTGATGCATTTGATATTATTATTATTATTATTATTTGAAAGTTTGTAGCAAATCAAACTGTACTAGACCATTGGGCCGGAATCCCAGGAGTCGTGGGTTCAAAATTACCAACAAAAAAACTACAGAATGATATTAATGAAGATTTATTTTAACAAATTTACAAAAAGAAACAGCAAATATGTCCATCCTGCATAGATGAAAGCGAGATAAATAATTATTAATTTTTATTTAGGCAATCGTTGTTTAAGCATTTACACAATGAAATACACGGTGATTTTGTCTTTTTACAACTGTACGATATTGTTCGACAATTGGACATACATTTAAAAGGCTGAATCAATGATTCTGGCAAAGGCAACATTGTCATTTGTCGTGGACGTAAGTTACCAATGTTACCATTGCTCTCTTCATAGCCAAATGAAGAATAATTGATAGGTCTTAATTGAGTTTGATGTGCATTTTACTAAATATATGTTTGTACTGTAGACCTTACCAAATGCAAATGCAAAGCATCAAGGGCGTACCCAGCGAGGGGGAGGGGGGGGGGGGGGGGGCAGATTTCGCCAGTGCCGGGTTGAAGAATAGAATACTTTTATAAATAAATACAAGATACAAGGCGTTACATAAACTAGTTAGTGTGTTTAGTTAAATTAATCAGAGTGAATTTTAGTTAAGTGTTAATAAAAGTATAGTTTTAATTAATTGGCAGCTTTTATCACATCGTAGTCGAACAAGTTCACGCTAAAAACGTTACAGTACTTATTGGAAAATCTGCTGAATCTACCTATTTCGGGCATCTCGGTATCTCCACACTGATAAATGGATATCATGAAATTTTTTCAAGCAGGTAAGTTACAGTTAGTAAGTTACATTCGACGACATTTGTGTAATATCTGTAAATTCCAATTAAAAAAAACAAAATGTTTTTTTCCATGTTACATGTTAAACAAAACACTAACATGGATATCACTCACACTGTATAAAATACTAATAGCGGCATTATTGTGTTTTGCAGCTACTAAAACTCTCAAGAGGAAAAAAGAACATGACAGTAGCAGCGGGAGCGATGATAACAATGATCAAATTTCATCGCCAAGCCCATATAAAACTGAATCTGAATCTGAGCAACCGCTAAATTCTTTGAGATCTCAGCAAGTCACTGCTCCTAATTTAGAATCTTTACCGTCAACATCTGGCTCTGTAGTCAATCCCGAAATTGAAGAGAATGATGGTTGCCACGAAAATGACTTGGGTCGTTATGTAGGACAAACATTTCACCTGACGATGGAAAGAAAAAAAGAGTTGTTAAAAAATCCGTGGGTTCCACCCAAGAATTACGATTTTGCAGCCGATGCCAGTCATTTGCGAAGAAAATTTAATTATGCTTGGTTAGATCAATACACACCATGGTTAGTGTATTCCAAGCGACTAAAGGGTGCTCTGTGTAAGCACTGTGTTTTATTTCCTCCTTCTACTGGCACAGTAAGGGGAGTGTTAGGTTCATTTATGATCAGACCATTTACAAAGTTTAGGAATATGCACGAAGATTGTCGTAAACATGCCACCAATAACTTTCACAAATCTGCATCTGCTGCTGCAAAGGCCTTTCTCGAAAATATACCTGTGGACATTCAAGTTCAAAGTTTCCACCAAAAAACAATCGAAGAGAACAAGCAAATATTGGCCTCTATTATTTCCTGTGTAGTATTCTGTGGCACACACGATATGCCTCTACGAGGAAAAGAAGCAGATGAGGGAGTTTTTTTCGATCTAATGAATTTGCGAGTTAAGTCGGGCGACATCAAATTAAAGAATCACCTGGAAAAGTGTCGTAGAAATGCTGTTTATACGTCACCAAAAATACAAAACCAACTCATATATTTATGTAGCGAAGTTATTAGGGAGAGTGTGATAAATGATGCAAAGAAAGCCATGTTCTACACAGTTTTAGCCGACGAGACAGCCGACGAGACAGCCGACGTTTCAGGAAAGGAGCAGCTATCTATTGGCTTGCGTTTCTATGATGAAAGTAAAAAAAAAGTCCGAGAAGAATTTGTGGGTTTTGTGGAGCTGACAGCACAGGATGCCCCAGCAATTGCCAATGCAATAGACAATTTTTTAGTTAGCTATAATTTTTCACCGCATAGTTGTGTAGGACTTGGTTTTGATGGCTGCGCTACGATGGCGGGCAAAGAGGGTGGCGTACAAGCGATTTTAAGGAAAAAGTACACACGAGCAGAGCCGTGCTAAGCACGCGCGGGCCCCAGTGCAGTTATTCCAACGGTCCCCTTAAAGGGGACCCCAAACTTTTTTGAGTGTCACGAATGCCCAAATTTTTACCCAAAAGTCGTTAAAAAAAAGATGCCTCGGGTTTATTTTTTTTAGGATTTTTGAAGTAAAACCTCTTTGCTTCACAAAAATTCCGATCGCGTGAGGGCCATAAGAAGGGGAATATGAACCGCGCATCAGCAGCGACCGGAGTACGCTTGTCGCTTGATTGAGAGAGATACACATTACGTGCCGGTATTTTTGTTCTCAGTTTTCGAATTTGACAAACGTTAAAAATAATCAGGGGTTTGAATGTTCTCTTACCACATCATACGGATTACAGACCTTGTCCCATGCAAAACCGTGTTAAATTCAATGACATGTCAAATTCGTTATCAAGATCAAAAGTATCGGCCCTACCCTACATGATTCAAAATTCTAATTATTAAATTTAATCTCCGGTTAAATTTAAAGTTGGTGTTAAAGGAGGTGTGACCTTAAAATACAACTTGCTTTCAGAAAATAAAGAAAAAAATTCTAAGAATTCTTGTGAAAATCTCGCATCGCTACTCAAAATAATAAAGTAGATACACCTGAATAAAGGTTTGTCTATTCATCGCGTGACGTCACAACCACGCGACGACCGTGTTGGCCGGCTCAGAGCGCGTGTCATTACACGCTCAGTAGTAGCCTATTTATTAGTGTATGTCGTTTATAGATTGATGCTCTTCTGCTTAATTTGTTCGTTGCTTGTTGATAGTGTTTCATTTATCTAATAACATTAAAAATGCCTAATTGCTGTGTTGAAGGTTACATGGATAAATTTTCTGAAAATTGCATACTTATTTTTTTTTTTTTAATAAAATGGTAGGTGATTATGGGCGCTTGATTATGCCGCCTCGAATTCCATGAACCTAGTAAATTCCCCGGTTTTGCTCTTAAATTAAATGTCTAGGTTTTACACCCTATCAAAGTTGCAAAAATAGTATATTATTCAACGAGCCGGTAATGATGGCTATTACTCACGAAGGATGAAGTTTGCACTACGAGCCGCAGGCGAGTAGTCTAATCATCCGAGTGAGTAATAGCCATTACCTACGAATTGAATACTATGCTTTTTCTATGATTAATAAAAGATAGGCACGAGTTATGCGATTAATTATTTAATTTTCGTAACAAAATCAATTGACAATTCTGACAGCTGGAGGACAAAGTAAGGTTAGGTTAGCACAAGTCTTGTCCTAATCAGCTGTCAAAATGACCGATTGGAAGGTTGAAGTATGTTGTCAACTTGTCGAATCTTCTGATTGGCTCTTAAATAGTGGAGTACTGAGACAAGGATATTTTCATTGGTTGAAAACAATTAAGTAATGAAAAAAAAAAAAAACACTCACTCTATGAGTAATCATTCACATTGATCAATAGAAAATTGATGTATATTACGCATATTATTCAATGCTCATAGAAAAAAGTTAATAATTTTCAACTGATGTCAATATTTCCAAAACACTCAAAACAGATGATAGGGTATATCACATGAAATCTGCTCAGAATTTTACATAGAATCCGAATATTCTATAATATATGTAAAGGGTATTCCCGAATAAAGAGAGTTAAGGTGCGTTTACACATGCATGGATTTAGTGGCGCCAATAAAAACTGGCGCGCCAGTAAATTTTATTAGCAAGTGTAAACATGGACTTGCATACACATTTTATATTTGCATGCATAGTCCAAAAAAGTCTGCATCCTTCTGAAATCACTGGCGCCAGTGGTGACAAATTCGTACAGAACATCAATACTTGCAAGTGTATACAAGTGCTTGCACGTCGGCGTCCGCTCGCCAATTTTTCGTTTGATTTTCATTTCGGTTGCTGCGAGTTCTCCTAGAAGTTTTGCAGAAGGAGCCAAAGTGGGTCGACGACCAATCCATG